TGAAGTCTTAATGGGCTTCTGTTATGATGGCTATAGATTGCCTTGTGGAACCTGACCTTGTGGAATCTGCATACCTCATACTGACATAACTATAATTCTCATGTGTTTATTATCAGAATAGATGTTTTACAGTTTCATGTGTTAGAGTAAGATGTACATGTTACTTAGTTTTCATTTAGCCCTCATAAAATGGCTGAGAGGCATAAGAAGATAGTTTTTGAAAGACACTAAATATTTTAAAGAAATAAACAGTTGCTCTGTTCCTTTAAAAAGACTTGCTGTTATAGCAATTAATGATGAAGCAAATGCATTGGAAAGAAAATCATAAAGTCTATTTTGAAACACTTGGTAGTATAAACATTACTACATGCCTTGGTAACTGGAAACTATGTGTATGTGTGCATTATTATAAAACCTTTTGGCCTAGGGAGTTAGATCACTGAATGAGCATAAGTACTTGAGCTTGGATCCACAGTGTCCATGTAAAAGGCTGAGACTAACCGTGTGTGTCTGTGATCTCAGGACAGGGGATGGAGATTAGAAGCGTCTGGATAGCAGGTCTAACCAAATTGGCAAGCTCCATGTTTGGTGAGTATCTTAGTTAGGATTATCATTCCTATAATGAAACACCATGACCAAAAAGCAAGATGGGAAGGAAAGGGCTTATTTAGTTTACTTTTCCATATCACTGCTCATCATTGAAGGATGTCAAGACAGGAGCTCAAACAGGGCAGAAATTTTGAGACAGGAGCAGATGCAGAAGCCATGGAGGAACACTGCTTAAGAGCTTGCTCAGATTATTGTTTTGTAGAGCTCAGGACCACTAGCCCATGGATGGCACCACCCATAATGGGCTGGGCCCTCCAATCAAGAAAATGTCCTACAGTCTTGTCTATAGCTGGATCTTATGGAAACATTTTCTCAACTGAAGCTCCCTTCTCTCTGATGACTCTAGCCTGTGTCAAGTTGACACAAAACTTGCCAGTACAGTGAGAGACCATGTATCAAAAAATAAGGTGGAGAACAACAGATAGATTCCTAATGTCAATTTATGACCTCAGCACATCACACAGGGAAATGCTCTCCTGAAATCACACATATACAGCCCTACACACACAAACACGCACGCACGCACACACACACACACACACACACCACAAAACTTCTTACATCTCCACACTTAGTAACCTGAAATGAGAAATTGTACATTTAAAACTTGTATAGAAAGTTACAGAGATTGTGGAATAAAAATACAGCAACTTCTGATTCATCCATAAAAATACTTAAAGGGGCTGAAGAGATGGGTCAGTTATTTCTTAACTAACTGCTCTTTCAGAGGACCTGGGTTCAATTCCCAGTACCAACATGGCAGCTCACAACTATTTGAAACTCCAGTTCCAAGGAATCCAATGCTCTCACACAGACATATACACAGGCAATGCAACAATGCACAGAAAAAAATAAAAACAAATATATCATTTAAAAAGCATACTAAAAAATATAGATGAATAGTAAACTCATTCATTACCCAGATACCCCTAAGAGAAAGAAAGAACAAAGAATGAGAGAGAGGGGGGGAGAGGGAGAGGGAGAGGGAGAAGGAGAGGGAGAGGGAGAGGGAGAGAGAGGGAGAGGGAGGGAGGGAGGGAGAGACATGACTAGCATAGGGGAAATCCTAGCTTAAATTCAGCAACACACTTGATTGTGGGGGCTGAAAAGAATGATATATTTTACTTGGTTCTACAGGTCTTTTTCAGATACAATAAAAATGAAAACCATTAAAATTGACTTAGAAACAAATTTTCAAATCGTTTTATAATATGCTAAAACATATTAATGACCCATACTAATGATTCCCCATATAGAATTGCATAGAAAAATAGAATGAGGAAGTCTATAGCTATAGAATATAGATAAGTGGTTTTCAGAGAAGAGAGATACTCCTAACAGGTATGTTGTTTATTTGGGGAAGAATAGAATGATCTTGTAGTCTTCCTGGCCACCATGAAGTTATTCTAAAGAGACATACATTGGAATTTTCCCAGGAGCTGGGAGAAAGAAAAAAAACTGGGACACTGATGTAAGCCAGAGAGAAAACTCTTCCTGAGAAAGTGAGCTCTCCCAGAAAGAGATTTCATATAGCTCTAACAACTTACGTAAGATCACCTTACAAGAACAAAGAGCTGAGAGAATGGTGGGTCACTAATGGGCAAAAACAACACCTTGACAGATTGCTTGGTTTAACTTGGCTTCTCTGTTTGAACCCAAATTTCATGTCAAGACCCTGAAGACAGACTCTGGGGAGTCAATGAACTTCTTTGTTCCTTCTCCAGTGTAGTCACATTGAATTTATCTTTTTTTCTCTTCTTTACACTTACTACCTTCTTTACACTTACTACTTGGCCCATTGAGGATGGGTGGCTGAGCCTATGTTATTAGGGATATGAGAGTCCAGGCTTTCATCCTAACAATCTCAGAATTATTCAGAAATTATGAACTACTGAAACTTAGTCAACATAGTGACTATAATAAAAGCTACTAAACCATTTATCCTTAAATGACAAATTTTATGTTATATGGCAGTTATCTCTGTAGAAAAATTACAAAAGTTAAAAGACCCATATTTAGTATTGAACAATACTTTGTAGTATATTTGAAGCAAACATTATCAGATTCATTCTTTACAAGTCTAAATGTCTGTACTTTGTGAACTATCCATAACATCTTAGTATAGTAGCACTAATGCACAATAAAAGATTCACATACACATATTAGAAGTTTATTCTCACAAAAACTTTTGTTGATCATACATGTCTATACACAGTGATATAATACTAGATGCTTGTGCATAAGTAGCACACTATGTACTTCTGATGACATTTCATGGAGTAGTAGGTACAGCCACACCCTTTCTTCCAATGAGAACATTTTAAAATCATACTTTTTAAGATTTCAAACTTTGAAATGGATAAAAGATATTGTACCACAATATTACTTATGATATCCTGATAATATATGTCTACAGTATGATAAAATGGTGATTTTTGAATACTACAGCTTGCATAGAAATTTTCAAATCAAGAGACAAAGTAGAAAAAAATCTTATTGAATATAATGTATGAAAGGTATTTGGAAGCAGAAGAACTCCATTTCCCTTGCAGTTCTGGCTGTGAGTTCCTTTCTGCAGTGAAGACTGGAGGGAGGTGAACGCCACATGGTGGCAGAGAACTGCATTACAGGTAAAGCTTTCGTTTTGCTCCTGGGCGTGTCATTCTCAATCATGTGCCTGCATTCTGTAGAACCATTTTTTTTTAAGGTACTGTTTTTTGTTGCTGTGTTGTTTTCTTTTTTCCCAAATTTTTCTGGACCAACTAATGGGAGGCTACAAGCCAGATGACCATTTTTGCCCTTTGCATGCTTCCAATGATCAAATAACTTAGATCCTTCAATAAATACACTTTGAAATGCCTATTTTCTAACCATACCTTCTTTGATTTACTTGTCATTTGCCACCTTGTCACAAAGTTTCTAATCTATGTCTAATGTTATATTTGGGGGGGGGGATAGTAAGTTGGCTAGACTTGAGACAAAGGGCACGCTATCCCATTTGGCTAACTTATATAAAAATTATGATACCAACTACAAATCAAGCGTGACAACAAGTAGAAGATTTTAACAATTTAATAATTTATATAAACCTTAGACGTATGCATTCTACACAGGCTGCCATCCTTAAATCTCTTTCAAGTCGTGGCCCCAGGTAACACTTTGAACACAGCAGGAAACCACAAGTCTAACCATTTAGGCAGATGGATGATTTACACAGCAAAGGTATTGCCATCATTATTTCTTAAGTACACCAGTGTACACTTCTCTTCCAATAGTTGCCACCTTGGTTTATCTTGCCCATCTGACAAAATTATGCTTTTCCTGATAAAAGTACACGGGATTTAATAGAAGACAAGGACTTAATGATATGTGTGACTGACCCTGCATTTGGGAGATGGGCCTAATGGTTCAATGTAAATCAGGGCTGTCTCCTTTTGTTACAGGAATGGAGCCTTATCTAGAGGTCAGTCTGGGTGAACAACCATCAACAGAAACTTTCTCCACAAGCTTAAACTTCAATTATGATAAGAAGTTTTCATCCTTACAGCTTCCAAGCTTGGTTTGGTACACTATTTATCTTACAAGCATATTGGAGGAAGCTCTCTTTTAGTTAAATTCAACTTTGTGTAACTTATTATTTCCTAAGCAAGTTTATTAGCAAATCCTTTATAGCATCAATTTTATTACTTCAAGTTTCTTCATCAGAATTTTAAATTGAAACCAAGGTATAAAAGAATCAAGATCAGGCTGGAGAAACCCACAGAGGCAGCTGACCTAAACAAGGTGGAACACATGGACCCCAGACTAATGACTGAGAGGCCAGCAAGGGACTGATCCAGACACTCCCCACCCCACCCCCACCCCGACCCAACCTGGGTGTCAGAGAAGAGGCCTCGGCAATCTGTGGAACCTTGGAGAGTAGAGCAGTATTTATTCCTGGCGTACAAATGGACTCTGGGAGCCCATTCCACATGAAGGGATGTTCTCTCAGCCTGGACACATGGGGGAGGGCCTAGGCCCTGTCCGGGATGATATGACAGACTCGGAAAATCCCTCATGGAAGCCCTTGCTCATTCTGGGGAGTGGAGGGGGAAATGGAGTGGGATGGGGGGTTGGGAGGATTGGGGGGTTGGGGGAAAGAGGGGAGGTAGAGGGAATTGAGACTGACATGTGTAAAAAGTTAAATAAAAAAAATAAGAAAAAAAGAAAGTGTTCAAAACTATAGAAGTACTCTTTACCACTATCCTGCAAGTGTTCAGAACAGAATAAAATACTAATAGCATACCACTGATATATTTTTAAAGACGTTCAAGGTTCTGATGACTTATTAGAGCTTTGAAAAACATGATTTGATGTTTCTTCATGGAAACATTATTTACAGATTTTCCTACCTTTGTGATAAGAATTCGGTATCTATCCAGCATTGCCTGGTTGTCATGGCATCCTGCTAATAACTGCCATACTTCTGCCCTTAATGCCTCAGGAACACCACTCTTTACCAAAGTGGATAGCCCTTTTGGTCGGGCACCAAGGTTATTGTGCCTGAGGAAAAAAGAAAATAAACCATTCACAATCCATGCCCTGAACTGCTGTTGTTATAGAAAGAATATTTATTAGTTCATGTAAAAATATAAGGCTGGTCAAAAGAAAACTGACTAGGAGAACTAAACAAAAAGAGTACACAGTGATATCTTTAACCATTTTTTTGCTTATTTCACCCTATATTTTGATGAGATATATATTCCATCTTTAGACAAAGGGTTTTTTCACCCTATCATTTATATTTTTAAGTTTTCTATGACTATGTAGCAATATATGTATTAATTTTTTGTTTATATCCAAATATTGAAACATAAAAAATAACCACTTAAATCCCGGGACTGCTGTACAGTCACTTGAGTCTGTTGCCAAAGAATGAGTTGAGATGCTGAAAGTGAATCATAAGGCTGTCAACCCTTGACAGTACTCACTTCTTTATAGTCAGACTGAGCTGGGCCAAATGCAAAAAGTAGGTCCTATATTATAGGAATGAAATATGCAAACTTTAGTTTCTTACAGTCCCTACATCTTGACCCAAGGATTGCCTGGTAAGTGGCATGTCTTGTTCACTTAATTTGAAACACTCTATTTCAGTTTAAACTTAAGTACAAAAGACCATCTAGATTTAAAATACACAAGGTGACCCTTATACCAAGAGGAGTTCCTCATTGCTGTCAGTTCTAGATTTGTCTTGATGGCCTATTTGAACTACAAATACTCCCTAAAATGAGGTCTTTTAGTCTTTCCTACAAACACCAAAATTTACACAACTACATCTTGCTAGAGGGACAGCTTATGCCTATCAGTCTTATCCTTTTCACAAGGGCTGTTTAGAATCAGAGCAAAAGCAAACCTCTGTTGTCTAAAGCCAATGATCACATAGTAGCTATGCGATAATGATCAACAGCCATCTGGTCAAGAAATTGAATTACAGTTCGAGTCCAATGAATGCATTCTTCACCTCTTTCCTGACCTAAGAGCTATAGTCTCTTTTTCTGCTCAGATATCTCTCATTCCTTGCTCACTATATCATAGAGCTGACCATGATGCAATCATTCAATTCCAGAACTTTATAATGTATCCCAATTTGAACTAACATACCAGACTGTAATTTCAAGTTTTAAAACTGAAAAGTCATGGAATCCATATGTCTATTTTACATAATTGGTATCCCACATACTTCTCCAAATTATGCACATTCTTCTATCACCAGCCTAGACCCAAAGTTTGTCATCTTTTTCTGAAAATGTGTTCAAAAGTTTTTCTCCCTACATATTGTCATAATCTTTGGAGAAAATCTTAATGTTCCAAACTTAGATAATAAGTTAAAGTAAACTTATCATATCAATTTTGTGTAAATCCTCACATTTATGACCATTTTGCTTTCATTCAACTAAACTTTTGTGGGGAGAGGATTGGGAGAATTCGAGAATGGAAACTGGTAAAACTGATAAGCTCAAATCAAAATGAAGTAGAAAGATTTAGAACATAAAAGAATTAACATTATTAAAGAAGATTATTATGCTGTCAAAGGATAGTTTTCAAAATAGTATGCAGGTATTATTTTTAGATACATAATATTTTAACCTGCTTTTAAACATACATATGAACATACATAGTGTATATATTTATGTATGTAATAAAATTAATAAATTCCTTTAATTTTAACTTTTAATTATAACCATGCTAAATTCTTTTACAAATATTAATTAATTATATTTGTATAAATAAATTTACATTTGCATACATATTATTTGTATAATTATATAATTAACATTTGCTTTAATTCTTTAAAGTACCTTTATATATTTAAATAAGATTATTTTTAATTAACTGTGGCAAGCAAGTTTAATGCATTCCATAAAATATGACACATAGAAAAGTACCAATTATGCTTGAGAAGAAGAAGTGAATAAACTATTTGATGCCTGGAACTTCCTAGAAGCTCTCTTTTTCATTATCCAACTAAGTCTGAGACTACTTAAAAACATTCCATAAGAGAACTAGGATCATTTATAAAATCATGCTTTTTATAATTCAATGTATGACTCTGATTATACTTTTGGATCAGAAATGCATTTGGTTTGAAAGTAGTTGAATTTATGGATTCTGTAGGTAAAAAAAAAACTAAGCTAATTAAAAGCAACAGTGTAAGTACAAAAAAGTCTAAGTACATTTCCTTGAAACTGAAGGAAATACAGTAAATTATGAGTCACTTGGTGTATAAAGTTATAGAAGAGGAATTCAAAGTAATTGAAGATAGCATATGCTATAAGTAAAAAGATACCTACAAGTAAAAGTATGCTTGACTGGGTTCTTCAGAAGTCACTATGATGTCTCTGAGCACACACGTGTGACTTTTCAGAAGTCCTCTATACTCACTATGTACTTCTCCCCACATGCATTTTTCAATTCATTACAGCAGGACCTCTCTGTCCCTTCCTGAGAGGTTTTACTCAAGTAATCCATGACACGTTACAGTGTCACTAAGTCCAATGGGTATTTAAAATCCTTTCAGTGTTGACCACTCATTTACTTGACCTTTCACTGCTTCCCTAGGGATCAAGCATTAAAATCTCCCTTCTTATCCACCTCCACAAACTCCACCAATGATTGCTTCTCCACTCTTCTCACTAGTAATCTAATTCTATTACCGTCTTGTTTGTTTACCATCCCTTCGGAGTACCTATGGCTCAACTGCACCCTAAAATCAGTCATACCTAAGTCTGAACTCAGTCTTCCTTCCTTCAAACTCTGATTGTTTTCCAAGATTATCTCAATCTCAGTGGTTATGTAATAATCTATCCACAATAAAAATCTAACTGTTATTGTTGATCTCACTTTCCATCCCACAGATCATACCTAGCCCATTGTCACATCCAAAAGACATCAAAAGATATTCTCTCTCTCTCTCTCTCTCTCTCTCTCTCTCTCTCTCTCTCTCTCTCTCTCTCTCGGCAGAACTCACATGGGAAGTTTATTGGGAAAGGGAGTAGGGGAAGGGCAGGGAGAGAGAGGAGAGACAAGAGAGGGGGAGAGACAGACAGACGACAGAGAAAAGAGAGACAGACAGAAAGGAATGTTGATTTTTTTTCATTCCATGAGTTCTTACATTGCTGTTTTCCAATGTTTCAAATCACAGGGACAGCGGTTTGCTAGATTTCTACCTAAGTGTTTCATGGCTATTTTTGTTTTATATGTCTTGTGTCTTCCATCTCTGAGTTTTCCTTGCTACTATAGTGATGGGGGAAGGCCTTCTGTGTTTGTGCTTATCTTATTAGTTATTGAATAAAGCACTGTTGGCCAATAGGGAATCAAATTATGTAGGACTAGGAGTCGAGGAGGATTCTGGGAAACAGAGGCACAGTCAGTCACGATGTAGGACGTGGGAGAAGTAACATGCCCAGACCCTTCCTCCATTAAGAGTAGACCACATGGAAATAATTAGATTAGCAATTATGGGTTAAATACGTAAGTCAGAGATAGCCAGTAAGAAACCAAGCAAATGGCCAACAGCTTATAATTATTACAGTGTCCTGTGTGTTATTTGGGGGCTGAGACAGCAGTGGGACCCAAGCAGCTAACTGCAGCAGTGCCCAAGCGGCTGGCGGGAAGACAACACATTATACTGTGGTAGGTAGAATTAGTGTTAACATATGAACTTTGTATTCTGTAAGACGGTAAAATGAGGGCAGGAGTGGTGGCACATGGAATTAATCCCAGCACTCAGGAAGCAGAGACAGGCAGATCTCTGAGTTCTAGGCCAGCCTTATCTACATGGCAAGTTCCAGACTAGCCAAAGCTATGTGGTGAGACTCTGTCTCAAAAAAAGTATTAAAAACAAAAGTTAGGTTTTGTTTGCTTATTTTAAGTAACCTTTTAATTTTGCTTAAGAATGAAAATTATATCTCTGAAAATTAGATAACATTTTATATCTTCCTTTCAAATCTTATTTGCCTTTCCCTTTTAAAAAAGTTATATGAGAAAACATGGGAGTAACCAACCAATAGCTGATTTGACTTAAGGCCCACTCTGTGAGATGGAACATTATCTTTTAATGAATTAATGAATAAAAACCTAGCAACTAGAGTAAAGGTTAACAACTGAAATATCATGTATACCTCTGGCTGAAGGAAAATCACTATTCTCCAATAAAGTGACACTGGGTATGTCAACCACTCCAGGACAGAACTTATGTTCAGAAGTAGGTGACCAACACATAAAGGACTCCAGAGATTTTGTGTGTGGTTATATTTGGTTATAGTTTGGTGTTATACTTTCCTTTTTGGGTGGTGTCTTATTTTATTTTGTTTTCTTGGGTTTAGGGGGCTTTGTTGTATTAGGTTTTGTTTGTTTTTTGAAAAAGAACTTAAAGTTGGGTGGGTACGGAGAGAGAGAGGATCTGGAAGGACTCGGGGGAGAGGAAGACTATGACTAAAATATATTTGAAGTTAAAAATTGTTTCAAATAGTAAAAAAGTATAGCTAAAAATATTCCCAGTATTATACCAAGTGAATGAGAATGATCAGAGTGGATATGCTTATGCTGTCACAGGCTTAGGATTTTGTTCTTAAAGCTAACAGCTACAGACAGCTTACAGGTACCCACTAGAGTTATGACAGCTTCCTGGATTCCTAGTTTTCTAAGAATTATATCATAAATAAGTGATAAGCTTTTCAAGGGGTTTTAATGCATATATTAAGATAATTACATTATTTTTCTTCTGGTGATGATATGGCAACTTCATAATTTATTTTCATACACATGATGTCCCAGAATAAACTTCAATATTATACTTTATTTTCCTTTTGCTTTATTTTCCTTTTGCTTATAAACAACTGAATTTGACATGCTCTTACTATTGTTGGAGATTTCTGAGTGTATGCTCATAAGCCATACTTGACTGCAGTTTTGTCATAATATTTAAACTTGGTAATGTGATCAGACTATGCTAGTGTCATAAAATTAATTCAAAATAATTACCTTCTATATTATGAGAAAGTCTGTATAAAACTTAACAGTTCACCTTTTTTAATATTTGGTACAATTTTCTAATTAGGTTTCAAGCTTTCTTTGTTAAGAAAAAAAATTTTAGTATGGTTGAGCATATAGCTCAGTTGGGAGAATGCTTGATTAGAATGCACAATGTCAACCAGGCTGTGGTGGCACACACCTTTTGTCTCAGTACTTGGAAGACAGAAAAAGGAGGATCTCAATGAGTTAGAGGTCAGCCTGTTCTACAAAATGAGTTCCAGGACAGTCAGTACTGTTACACAGAGAAACCCTGTCTTGAGAGCACCCCCCCAAAAAAAAGAGAGAATGATCTAAGTCCAGTACTGCATAAACTACATAAGCTGACACACCTGTAATGCTAGCACCTGGGAAGTGGAGGAAGGAGAATCAGAAATTCATGCTATCCTGGGCACCATTCTAGGTTTGCTTGGCTACTTTCTCAAAAATAAAAACAAAAGAAAAAACAGACAAATATTTTAATGACAAAAATTAATTCAATGATACAAAATCATTCAGGTTATTTCATTTTGAGTGAACTCTGGCACATTGGAGTTTTCCCAGAATTTGCTCATTTCATCTAGTTTTCAAAGTGAAACCCACAGAAACAGATGACCTGAACAAGGGGAAGCTCATGGACACCAGACTGATAGTTGAGAGACCAGAATGGGAATGATCCAGATCGCCTGAACATGGGTGTTAGTGAGGAGGCCTCGGCATTCTTTGGGGCCTCAGGCAACATATGGGCATCTATCCCTGGCATCCAGATGGATTTTGGGAGCCCATTTCACGTGGAGGGATGCTGTCTCAGCCTGGACACATGGAGGAGGGCCTAGGCCCTGCCCTGGATGATAGCAGACTTTGGAGACCCCCATGAAGGGACTCACCCTCCTTGGAGAGTGGAGCAGGAATGAGGGGGTTGAAGAGAGGTGGAAGAAGAGGGGAGGAAGAAGGAGCTGGGATTGACATGTGAAGCAAGCTTGTTTCTAATTTAAATTTTTAAAAAAGATAATAAATCAGAAAAAAAGTTTGGTGAACTGAAAGTAATTTAAATAGAACCCACACTGGGGGAAGATCTAAACAGACAAACATGAAGGGTATCTATGAATCACATTTTAATTTTTATGTTATTAAGTATGTCAAGGTCCTGTGTATTCAGGTAGTAAAGGCCCTTGCTGTGCAAGTTTGGAGATCTGAGTATGGTACCTGAAACAGGCATGAAGATAGAAGAAAAAAGACTGGATCCACAAAGTTGTCCTCTGGACACCACTCACACACACACATACATACATACACACACACACACACACACACACACACACACACACACACGCACACATTAAATAAATAATTTAAAGTATACTAGGATAGCCTTTATTATTCCAGTTTTAAGTTTTCCTTACTGAAAGATTTAATTAGTATAAAATTAATGCTAAAGATGTAAGTGTAAATTTTCGAATAAGAAAAATAAATTCTTACCATCTTCCTAACAATTCTCCCCAAGAATAGAGGATCTTCTCAGGACAGTCTTTTGACACATCGCCTGTTCCACTTGAGAGTTCATTATCACTCTCTACAGGGAAAAAAAGCAATATGCATTATATAAAATGTAAGTACTTCCAAATCATAAAACATAAGGCAGGGCTATGTATCTACCAAAAGTAAATACAGTGTCCAGATAAAATTGTCAAACAATTTTATGAAAATTCTCATCTGCAGAGAAAGACTCTACAAACAGCTATATTAAATAGCTTTATCCAAAGATAATAGTTTAAAACTAATTGTGATATCAGCAGATGACAGACTAAGAAGTCTTAGGTCTCATTCCTTCATAGAAATAGTTCATCTACCATCTATCCACTTGTAAGAAAACTTGGGAAAAAAGCATAAGATGCCCATATAGTAAAAAGAACTAAATAAAACCCAAATGACAAGGGTATGAGGGCAGTCCGAATCCAATAGCAGTCCCTTCTCCACACAGGCACACAGGGCTGGAAAGGGCTTCCCAGTGCCCACAGTTTCTGCAGAGAAAAAGAAGGCAGCCTGTAGGCATCTTGACAGTGAACTTGTAATGGTGGCCATACCTCCTTGGACATGGCTTCAGGCAGATGGAAGCAGAAAATGATATCATTATATCCTCGCTTTCAGCAGCCAGTCAGCCAGCTTCCTAAACATCACAAGATGCTCAGAGGCTCTCTGGATACAGTTTACTAGAAGAATGGCATGACTTGGCCACCAGATGCATACAAGGAAATGAAAACAGTGCATATATCATGATGGCCACCAACATTTCCTCATGGATAGGAAAGAGTACATGAGATAGAGAAAGGAAATATAATGGACACAATTTATGTAAATTATAAAAGCAGATCTGTCATAGAAGTAGGTAAGAAAGGCTAACAAAGCACTGTTCCAATAATACAAGATAAATTTAAAAATTTGTCTATCAGAGCACAAGTACCAAGGCTTGTCAATGCTGTTCCAAATCAGTAAACAGCTCCCATACAAGGATCTATGTGAAGAACAGAATTTTTTAAGATGCTACAAAATGCAATCAATAGGCAAACATAAAATAATTCACATCTAGGCCAGACGGTGGTGGCGCACGCCTTTAATCCCAGCACTAGGGAGGCAGAGCCAGGCGGATCTCTGTGAGTTCGAGGCCGGGCTGGACCGATAGCCTCCAAAACAATACAGAGAAATCCTGTCTCGTAAAAAAACAAAATAAATAAATAAATAAATAAATAAATAAATAAATAAATAATTCACATCTGGGATATATAAAACAAACATTGCTGTAATTAATAAAGGTTTATTTGAGCAGGCTGAAACACTTGGTCATAGCCATTCACAAATTCAGAAAAATCAAAACACATGTGCACACAGAGAAAAATGCTTAACTATGTTAAAGTAATAACAGATAAGAATTGGGATGTTTTGGAGGCATCACCATGCCTGACTTCAAGAACTATTATAGAGCCACAGTCTTGAAAACAGCTTGGTATTGGCACAAAAATAGACAGGTAGACCAATGGAATCGAATTGAAAACCCTGATATTAGCCCACACACCTACGAACACCTGATTTTTGACAAAGAAGCTAAAGTTATACAATGGAAAAAAGAAAGCATCATCAACAAATAGTGCTGGCATAACTGGATGCTGGCATGTAGAAGACTGTAGATAAATCCATATCAATTGCCATGCACGAAACTTACATCAAAGTAGATCAAAGACCTCAACATAAATCCAGCCACACTGAACCTCTTAGAAGAGAAAGTGGGAGGTACCCTTGAACAAACTGGTACAGGAGACCCCTTCCTGAATGTAACATCAGCAGCACAGACACTGAGATCAACAATTAATAGATGGGACCTCCTGAAACTGAGAAGCTTCTGTAAGGCAAAGGGCACAGTCAGCAAGACAAAACAGGAGTCCACAGGACTGGAAATGATCTTCACCAATCCCACATCCAATGGAGGGCTGATTTCCAAAATATACAATGAACTCAAGAAGCTAGTCACCAAAACACCAAACAATCCAATTAAAAAGTGGGGTGCAGAACTAAATAGAGAATTCTCAATACAGGAATCTAAAATGGCTGAAAGACACTTAAGAAAGTTCTCAACATCCTTAGCCATCAGGGAAACGCAACTCAAAACAACTCTGAGAGGCCATCTTACTCCTGTCAGAATGGCTAAAATCAAAAACACCTATGACAGTCTATACTGGAGAGGATGTGGAGAAAAGGAAACACTCCTCCACAGCTGGTGGAAGTGCCAACTTGTACACCACTTTTGAAATCAGAATGGAGATTCCTCAGGAAAATGGGAATCAGTCTACCACAAGATCCAGCAATTCCACTCAGGCATATACCCAAAAGATGCACATTCATACAACAAGGACATCTGTTCAACTACGTTCATAACAGCATTATTTGTAATAGCAAGAACATGGAAGCAACCTAGATGACCTCAACTGAAGGATGAATAGAAAAAATGTGGTACATTTACACAATGGAGTACTACTCAGCTGGGAAGAAAAATAGATGGGCATTAGAAGAAACCCAGTAACAAAAAGACAAACATGGTATGCACTCACTCATATATGGATTTTAGACATAAAGCAAAGGATTACCAACCTACAATCCACACCACCAAAGAAACTAGGAAATGAAGAAGACCCTAAGAGAGACATACATGGTACCCCGGAGAAGGGGAAAGGGACAAGAGATCTCCTGAGCAAATAGGGAGTTTAGGGGGGGAGCAAGGAGAAAAAGAAGGGGAGAAGAGGAGGAGAGAGGAGGATATGAAGAAGAAGGAAGGTTGAGTGGGGGGAAGAATAGAGGAAAGAGAGCAAGAAAAGATATACCATAATAGAGGGAGTCATTGCAGGTTTAAAGAGAAATCTGGCACTAAGGAAGTTTCCAGAGATCTACAAGGATGATACCAACTAACAATCTAAGAAACAGTGGAGAGGCTACCTTAAATGCTCTTCCCCTATAATGAGATTGAGGACTACCTTATATGCCATCCTAGAGCCTTCAGCCAGTAGCTGATGGAAGCAGAGGCAGATACCCACTGGTAAACACTGAACTGAACTCCTGAAATCCAGTTGCAGAGATGGAGGAGTGATGAAAAGAAAGGTCAAGACCAGGATGGTGAAACCCGCAGAAACAGCTGATCTGTGGGAGCTCATGGAACTCAGACTGATAGCTGGAAAACCAGCATAGGACTGATCCAGACCCCCCTGAATGTAGATGTCAGTGAGGAGGCCTGGGCAATCTATGGGGCCTCTGGTAGTAGATCAGTATTTATCCCTAGCATACAAATGGACTTCAGGAGCCCATTCCACATAGAGGGATAGTCTCTCAGCCTAGTCACATAGGGGAGGGCCTAGGCCCTGCCCCAAATGATATGGCAGACTCTGAAGATCTGTCATGGAAGGCCTCACCCTCCCCGGGTAGCAGAATGGGGACTGGATAGGGAGTTATTGAGGGGCAGGGAAAGAGGGGAGGGAGAGGAAACTGGGATTGACATGTAAAACAAGCTTGTTTCTAATTTAAATAAAAATAAACTTAATAAAGCAACAAAACAAAAAAAAAAAGAATGGGCTGTTTTATTTAAAACCTGAGCATCACTCTAGGTAATGGAATGAAGACAAAAGTATGACCCACTCTGTAAATAGCTCACATAAGCAATTCTGAAGTTAGTAACAAGCTCATCACAACAAATAGAATGAGAGGTTTTGTTCTAAAGCAAAAGCAAATGAAATTTTACTGGTATCAGAGGAACCATGAGTGCTAACACAAACCACTGAAGAGTCAGTACTACAGTATCCTAAAGAAACAGCCCAGTAAACAATTACCCCATATAATCCTACATTCTCACAGAAAATTAGGCACTTTTGAGAAAAGAGACTATTGAAAGTTACAGATAAAAACAGATTACACTTAGATTATGTCAGGTAAACAAACTAAGTTGCCCTACTTAATAAATTTGTAGCAATTCTAAGTACTCATATTCATAAGTACTGGTATTCAAGTAAGCAGTATGTAAGACAACACCATCTTATCTGATCCCTAATAAATAAGAGTATGCAAATGTTCCAAAGTATTTGATGATATTGTACATGCTAAATTCAGAACAATAATTCAAAAGTACTGTGATAAAAGAATCATTTCAATTCTTATTAATCTTGGTGGTAGAGGAATACCTAAGCATGAAACAAAACAAGATGCAATAAAAGATAAGGACTATATCTACCTATAAATGTAAATCTTAAATTAATTAATGCATAAAAGTTTCCAACATATAACAAGGGGCTATTTTCCACAACATACTACAATTCTATTAGTAAATAAAGTATAAACCACTAGAAATTGAGCCAACAAAAGAACACAATACAGGCCTTACTACATAAAATATAAGCACACAATGAAGATTAAAAAATACCCACTGTCATTTTAAATGCAAAATAATGGGAAACATATTGACTAGTTAAATTGGCAGAGTACAAACAAAAGCATAGAGGAACAGAAAAAAAGATAAATGTAAATGGGATGTAGCTTAGCAATAGAGGGTTTCCCTAACAAGTACAAAGCCCTATGTTCAATCTCTAGCACTATGAAAACCAGAAGAGGGGGGAGGGAAAGGAGAAGAGCAATAGAGAGAAGAAAAGGGAGAGAAGAGGCAAAAGAATGGGAGGAAAGGAGAAAAGGAAGGGAGGGGGCTATTGTTCAATCATTAGTATTCCTCTATGGGTGAATGCATATTTTCATGACTGCTCCAAATGATGAGGATAGTGAATGTTCATCACTAAAAGAGACATCTATACCATCTCTTCTAAGGCTCAGGACAATACAGAATAGGGTCAGAAAAGAATATAAAAGTAGGAAGACAGGTAGAAGGAATGGGAAATTCTAGCTTCTAGGTATGATGCAGTCACAACCATGAACTCACAGTATATGCAATTGCCTGCACTGGGCTCACATACAAATGAGACTGTCCACAGCCAGGCATGGACAGAGGAGGAGCTAAGGGGCCCTACTCCTTCCAGCTGAACTACTGATTAT